GAAATCCAAGGGGGAATCCTTCCAGTAACTGGAAAATATGTCACGCACATCATGCCAGCCCATGGCCACAAAAACACTTAGGTTTAGCTGTGCAATATGTGTTGCGTAGTCATAGTGCACGAGGTAGAGACCAACCCTGTTATAACCCTGTATTGTTTGGTCACCCAGATGTCCGACACATGCTGAAACACATCACCATACTGACAAGAACTGTAAGATGTATGCCATCCACACATGGAAAGTTTCATGTCCAGAATGGAAAACACTCTCCCTCCCTGGAGGATGCACCCTGCTTACCTAATTCCGAAGAGAATTAGGTCACATGTTAGCAAAAGCCAAGGCCGTGGGGGGGGCGAGTGTGGAAAATACAGTGGGAACTGCTCGACTTTAACCAGCTAAAATCGCATGGCTTTGCCTTTGAGATTCTTCCTATGCAATTGAATGTTATGCTGGAATGAAACTGTATTTAATCAATATCTCTAGCCAATCAGATCCCAGTTTCAATTGCCAGTGTCAAATCTGTTATGAAATATCACATTTTAATCTCTTGGCTCCAAGAAATGGGACAAGTGAGTCTCCAGTAAGTAATGGGATGGTTAGTAATGACAACAGTCTGATGAAGACCAGGGGAAATCACCAGCGTGACTCCATAGCCAACACCGCAGTAACAGCAAAGGAATTTAATCCCAGTTTTCTCAGAGAAGGTACAAAGTAGCAATATAAAAGAGACCACAATGAACACACCTTAAATATTTTAAATTGAATCTACAAGAACCCAGTTTCTGCTTGATTCGAAGGGGGAATCTGGCAAAGTTAGCAACAGTAACAGTGATTGAAACCTTAAACTGGAGAAGATTTACAATATCCTTTAGATAGGAGCATAGGAATGTACTGGACTAGAAAAGACCGCTCCCAAGTAATAAATAATAATCCTACACCACCCAGCTCTCATAGCCCTTTTTACTTCACCAGCCATCCATGCCTCCCTCTTGGATTTGCAAACATAATCTGTGTCCACCACCTCCCCTGGATAGTCTATTGTGCATACAGGCTGACCCTGTTATTCCACACTTCGGTATCACGCGCTTCAGATTTGATGTGGGAACACAGCAAACACCTATTGTACCGAAGTGTTGTACACTTCCTGCTCCCAGCACTGACTGACGTGGGGCACTTGAGCCAAGGGCCTTTGGATATCTGCTGCATCCCCAGCAATCAATGGAAATGCTGCTCAGAGCAATTTCCATTGACAAGGCAGCATTCAGCGCATGGTCCACATGTTCAGCAGGGCTCAGTGATGAGAGCCAATGACCCCAAAAGTGCAGGAGAGTGGCTGCATAATAATGCAGCTTTATTGTCATAACAGAGGAGCTCGTTATTTGTGCACCAACCACTGCATTATAACAATATTTGACTGTATCCACCTTTCTGTAAATAGCACCTGAGGATCACAGCTCCCCGAAAGAGCACGGGTCCTATAATGTTAATCTCAGACCTTCTGACACTTTGGGCAAAGGTGGCCTTGAGAGCAATGATCTGCCTATCCTGCACTGGGAATGTTGCAAATCACACAGTCTTAGAGAAGGAGAAATAGACTGGAGAGCTCAGAAGTGGAATGATATTTATTATTTTCTAATCAGGTAAGTAACAGACAGTTGTGGAAGTGACATTCAATGGTATCTGCATGACCCTTCCGCAGGAAACATGGGCAGTGCAACTGCATCCAGCAAACACTGAAAGGGAGACAAAACAGAAAGTACTATATTCTTACACCATACGATCCTGAAGACCAGCAGACGACGACGAGATGCTGACTTCATTTCTGTCTGTACTACCTGTTGTGTTGAGACCAGACTAACTCTGTGATTTCATTTCTAATTCTACTTGCTATTCTGAATGTATTTTCCACTAAATTATTATCTGCATGCAATCCAATTATCTTTCCGGCTCATTGCAAAAAAGTAAAAACAAACCTTTTCTTAAGCTTGTTCCATTGAACAAATGTTTGTTTTCTCTGGCCTGATATTGCTGCGATTGACTGATGAGTAAAGTACAGTGGACAATTCAATATGAATCAGCCAGGGTTCCACGTTGGTTTACCTCAGAATGGAAAAATAATCCTTGCATTTCCACATCATGGAAATTTCGCAAAAGCTTCCCAGAATTTACTGTAAAGTATGGAAGTACACACAGCAATGTCCCACAAACATGAAGTGACCAAATAATTTTATCTGGGAATTACTGGTCAGGAGACTAAGAAACCAGGAGAAATTCACTTACTTTTTGAATATTGCCATGGGATGTTCAACATCCACCTGAATGGGCAGACAGCGATTCATCCGAATGAAGGTACTTCTGATAATTGTAATGCTCCTCTGGGATTGTACTGGAGTGTCAACTGAAATGTTGAGCTCAGAGACCTAATGCAGAGATTGAACCCCAAATCATCTGACTCAAAGAAGAGTATGTTACCAACTGAGCCAGGCTAACACCTAAAGATACACGTTCTTGGTCCCAATTCCTAACACAGTCAGTTGCCAATTTCAGCACTGGCACCTGTGAAGAGACACAAGGGGATTTTGCCTGGAAACATAGTCAGAAGAATTGAAGATTAGTCAACTTCTGAAACTTCCAACTTCCCAATTTGCTACCCTGTGTGGAGAGAGCTATATAAGTCCAAGTTGTTGTTGCTGTTGTTCCCTTCTCAACATTGGCAAAATCCTACCTTCCTGCAGAAAATTCCTCTGATTCTATCCCTTTATTAAAACTCACTAAAAAAACATGCCAACGTGGAACAAGTGCCTCACACAGACCCAGCAGAATAATGAAGACTTCCTTTAATTATTCTGCACTTTGCTATTCCTGAAGGTAGACAAAGGTGAAGATGCCTAGGGACATCCTTTTGATGTGAAAAGTGATATAAAATGTAAATTTGTGATGATGCCGTGAATTGCCTACATACCGTGTTGCTTCCAGAAAGTGTGGATTAAGTATAACCCACATATAATTTCAGGCCCCCACCTCCCAAAGGAGAGTCAATTTCAGAAATGCACTGCTTGGCTGCAGCTTGAAAACATTTATACTAAGAGGCAGATTACATTGATTTGTAAGATAAAATAATTCCAGACATCACATGTACACAGAAAGGGCTTCTTACCTGGCAAAGTAAAAATTGGATTTCAAGGGCGAAGTCTGTACAATAATGTTACTGACTGTTATTAATTCTCTTAGTATATTCTGACAGCAAAATATTTTTTAATCGTTTTTATTCCATTTTTATCTGCAATAAATATATATATATACGTAATATATATTTTGAAATGATTTAAGTTTAGTTGTTGAATTTAAATAATTTCTTGTTGCTCTCAGCGGGCTCTGGTCTGCCTCACATCTCCCATCTCGCCCACCCCACCATTGGCGGGCGGGCCTTCAGCCCCTATGCTCCCACCCTCTGGAACTCCATCCTGCAGTCCCTCCACCTCACCCCTTCCCTTGCCTCCTTCAAGACAGATCTCAAGACCCTCCTCTTCAACCATGCTTTCGATTACCCTCCTTCCCCCTTTGCCCTCCACCCTCCCTGATCCCAGTTCGGGTCCGAAACACTGACTGTCCAGCGCCTTGGGATGTCCTCCCAGCATGAAATACGCTATACAAATGTAATTTTGATGTTGTTGTTGCTTTCCTTATTGTCTTTCAATTCTGTCCTCTTGCTCAGACTGGTTCAGTTGGTAGCACTTGCATCTCTAAGTCAGAAGCATCCCACTCAGGCCTTTGACCTCACAATCCAGTGAAATCTTGGTGTCTGGTTCAATCTTCAGCTATCCTTCCTTCCTCATATTATACCCCTGACCAAGACCACTTTTCTTCGACATATTGCTCTCCTATGCCCCATCTTACTCCAAATGCCACCAAAATCCTCATTCATGCATTTGTTTGTTCCCTTCCAACTAGACTTTTCTCACTCTCCTTGCTAACTTCCCTAGTTTTTTTAAAAATCAGTCCAATATCCTGGCCTCAATCTAGTAATCTGTTCCAGTCATTAATTACCCTAAAAATATTTTTATGGACTGTCCTAAAATTATTCTCTGCAACTCTAAAGCTATGTTCTCTTGTTCTGCCTTCTTTTCCAAAAGTCGAAAAATATTGATCATGATTTACTTTCTCAACCCTATTTAGGATCGTGTATGCTTCTATAAGCTCTGGGCAGCCACATTATGACATGGCAACAAGAACTCTATACAGCTCTATCTTGGTGACATGATTTGCAAACATGGGGTTAAACATCCTCATCAACAACAACAACAACAACAAAATTACATTTATAGAGCGCCTTTCATGTTGGGAGGACGTCCCAAAGCGTGTCGGGGCTTGAACATGGGGGAGGGGTGGTGTAGGGGTGAGGGAAGGCAGGGAGCTGGGAGGGAGACCAAAGGCATGATTGAAGGAGGCAAGGGAGGAAGCGAGGCGAAGGGACCGCGGGATGGAGTTCCAAAATGTGGCGGCAGCGAGGCTGAAAGCCCGGCCACCGATGGTAGGGTGGGCCGGGCGGAAACATGGAGCAGTCCGGAGCCCGCTGAATGGAGGGAGTGGGCAAGTTGGTAGGGAGTCAGCAGGTCAGAGAGGTAGGAGGGGACAAGGCTATGGATGGCCTTAAAGGTGAGGACAATGATCTTGAACTCAATCCTCCAGGGGATGGGGAGCCAGTAGAGTCGGGCGAGGGTGGAAGTGATGGGGTCACGGAGCCTGGTGTGTGAAAGTACATGAGCTACAGTTTTGGATGATCTGCAGCTTGTGAAGGGAAGAGTTGGGAAGGCCGATGAGGAGGGAGTTCCCGTAATCGAGCCTTGATGTGACGAATGCGTGGGTGATGGTTTCGGCAGCCTGAGGGGTGAAGCAGTGGCGGAGTCTGGCGATGTTGTGGAGGTGGTGGTAGGCAGTGCCGGTCATGGCGCTGATACTCATGTAAGCGGATGACACCAAAATCTACTTTTCCATTTTACTCTTCATTCCAGGACCCATGGATGGATGTTCTATCTGCTTGCCTTTCCTGTCAAACATAAAGGTCTGGATTGAGCCTCAATTCCTTGCATCTTCACATTGACAAGATGGAAGCCATCCTCCAGGATTCCCAATGTCCTCTCACTTCCGGCTCTGACCTCCTCAATCTCAGTCAAACTCACTGAACAAGTGTGATACCTCAGTTGTTCTTCCTTGCTCACATTATATCAATGACCAAGACCGCGTTTCTTCAACACATTGCCCTCCTATGCCCCTATCTGGCTCCAAAGGCCACCAAAATCATCATTCATGCCTTTGTTTGTTCCCTTCCGAGTAGACTTTTCTCACTCCCCTTGCCGACTTCACTTATTCCACCATCCATAAGTTGCAACTGATCTAAAACTCCACCACCCGCATCCTCACCCATACCACTCCACTGTTTCCCCTTCTCTCAATGAATCAATAGCACCTCTGGTCACCTGTTTCTTTCCTATCTTCTTTTTTCCTTGCTTAGCATCCAACCGCCTCGTGTGAAGCACTCCCAACTAATATCCTTTGTGAAAGGCACTATATAAATGCTTTAACTGGCTCTTTGGTGCCGAGATAATAACTTTTTTGAATTTTAATAGAGCATGTGGAGTATTTTTAAGCCATCGTGTTTGCAATAATAGATTCTCCACGCTCATTCACATCAAATACCAAAAGGTTCAATTAAGGCCAAATGAGAATATGTCCCTTATCCATTACAATTATAGAAGGTAGATTTTTACTTTAACAAATTAACAAACAAATCCAATTAGAGGATGTTAATATTAGCTGAATAATTATTAGTTTGAGTATGATTTTTGAATATCTGAACACAAATAATTTGCCAATATAGAACATCATCCTATTTGCCTTGTTTATTACTGTCTCATAGTTTTGCCATGGTCAGTGTTTAGTCAAGTACCACTTCTGGTTCTCTTTTAGCTTCCCCTTGGCAGATTCTATCCCATCCATAAATTAAATGATTTCTATTCTTACTTCCTATATGTAAAACCTTGTGTTTACTTGGATTGAACTTGATTTGCCAGTAATCAGTCCATGTACATATCCTATCAAAATAAGTTTGGTTCCAGCAAATTGGCTGCTATGCTTGCCTACAAATACACAGTTACTACACTTTACAGAAAACTCTGTGAAGTGCTTTGAGGCGTTTTGATATAATGCACTGAATCATATGCAAGGATTAATGTTTTATAATACTATAATATTAATCCTTGCGTTTGATATAACGTCTTATCATGTCTTTGATACGTCTCAAAATATGTGGCAGTATCCCACAAACAGTGATGGATTGAGTGACCAAATCATTTTTATTTATTTTGAAAGAATTATTACCCCCGGAAAAGCGTGTGGAGTAAGGAAACCTGCCCAAAGTTTCGCCCTGCCCAGGAATCAAACGCAGTTCCTCTCGCTTGTGAGGTGAGTGCTCTTACGACTAAGCTGCAGAACTCCACGTTTTATTTTTCATTTTTTTCTGTTTTTAGTCACTTATCTTTACTGTCTTGCCTTTCTTCATCCATTTCTGAATCATTAACTTTTTATTTGCCCTGATTCATTATTTCTCTAACATCACTATTTCTCTCTATCTTTGCCTTTTTGCCTAGAGTGTCTTAGATCGCTGTCTTTTACAATCATCCAGGTCTGTCTATCTCTGTCGCTCACATGGATCCTTGTCCTCAACTGGTTCTGTGCTGCTTCTTCTACATTTACACCATTACCATCAAAGCCTCTTCCCCACTGAAGCAGATATTGCTGTTTGCAGTATGCAGCTGCATGTATTCCATAATGTACTTCTCAGCCAGAGTAGATGTGACTTGCACAAAATCTACTTGTGCAAATGTATTTTATCTTACTTAAAAGCAGAATCAAGGGGAAAATGTCCAGAAAGACCACATCGTGAAGTCCTGTATCTTAGTCATTGAAGCACTTGCCTCACAAGCAAGAGGACGGGCAGTGCGAAGCGTTGGGCAAGATTTCTTACTCCACACGGCTCTATTTACTATTTAACTAGCAATAAGTAGGAATCTGGTTGTTAGTCGATTGGCGGAACGATGACAAACCCTTCAAAAAAATAATAATTTAGTTACTCAATCCACGACTGTTTGTGGGATACTGCTGAGCGCAATTGGCAGCTGTATAATACCATATACAAGTGACCAGGTTTCAATTTGCAACATTAAAAAACTCATTCTGATCCATGTTTAAAATATGCAGGAGAAAGACTGCTTATTTACTTTTTTAGAGTTACGGTGTTCTTTTTAATCCACGAGTGGTTAGAGGCTGGTTCTGATACAAAGATACAAGGACAATTGGACAGAGATATATGGTGATGTATAATTTATAATTTTATAATTTATGCCTGAAGCTTTAAAATAGCACCAAAATAGGTTTGGATATTTGATAAAACATTTCAGAAGGATCAGAAGCCTCATATTTGGGCAGATAGATGCATTTTGTTAGCCAAGAGAAACATCTGAAGTACCAGAGAGAGAAAGAGATTGTATCTGGATTTGGTAGGACTATACGTTTTATACAGCATGCAACTTTGTTTTCTTGCTTTACCATGAACAAAATAATTCTGGTACAGAAGAGGACGAGAACTTCCAGATTAGTTCCAAATTCTTGATTATGGTGGTAATAATAGTAATCTTATTATTATCAAAGCGCTTGGCAGGATATTCTATATTCTATATTCTATGGAGTATTTTGTGGGTGACAGAGATTTGAGGAATTTTCTCCAACCTAGGAATATTTTCTCAAGACGAGAAGACCAAGGGGACTTAATGGAGGTATTCAAAATCATGAAAGCATTAAAAAAGATGCATAGAGATACATTGATCTGCTGTGCAGAAGATTCACAAAAGGAGGTATTAAAGCTCAAAATAAGTAAAACAAAAAAGAACGTGCAGGAGAAATATTTTTTACATGATGACAAGTATATGGAACAAACTACAGGGCAACCCTGTTCTGGCACAGTCCTCTGGGTCCAATATAATAATGGCCTCATATTAAGTGAAGAGCAAGAAACTGGCCAACTTCCAGGTGTTCAGAAAATCACTTCCTGCACACTATGTGGCTGTGGTTAGAGGTTGATGGGCAGAACCAACTAACCTTCCTGTAAGGGCAAGCGTCTTAGTGCTTTTTATTTTGTGCCTACCCTGAGAAAGCTGTGAATTCAAATTCTATGTGAGGATATTGAGCTTTTAGTCTAGGCTGACACTCCAGTTCAGTGCTGGGGTTGAGCTATGCTGTCGGAAGTGCTGTTCTTCAGATGAAATGTTAGACCGAGATGCCGTCTGCTTGTTCAGGTGGGTGATAAAGATCCCATAGCACTATTCAAAAAGAAAAAGGAGTTTCTCTCAGTCTCCTCGCCAAGTGGGTTTTATTTGAGGACCGCCCTTAGTGCTTGATGGGTGTGGAAGGCGCTGCGTATGGAAGGCATCAATGCAGATCCATGTCCCACCACAGGATGGCACAGGGCCACTGCACCACCCATTGCTGTCATCACCATTGCTCCTCAGCCTGCTCAGTGAAGGCATAGTTAGTTTAGACTCGCAAAGTTATTTTACCATTTGTTATTAACTGTAAATATTTCTATACTGCCGAATTTGATGGAGGAAGAGTGAACAATGTTTCCTCTGCTGGATATTTATGGCTCCATGTTTATGGTATTCCACAGTTGCAGCCACACCGGTGCTCTGACCCTGCTGGTATTCCTAGCAGTAACTAATCCTCATACCTTCACACAATAAGGTTCCAGACATGAAGCTGTCACTTGTGTCTAACCTGCTGTTAATTCTTTTCAGTGTTTCAATGCCATTGTGCCCACATGCACATACACCAAGCAAGTTTATTTATTTACCTTTCAACTGCCGTGGGGTCCAGAGAAGCTGCATCCTCCCTGGGTCAAGCAGTTGTGGAATTTCTCAGCGCCAACATTCTTCTCACTGGGAATTATTTTCGATTTCTGAACAATATGACAGTGGGAAATGGTTTCCTCTGAAAAGTTCGAATGATACTGGTGTCTTGCCATTGATCAAAAATTCCTGATAGCGTAAACTGCCTATCCACGAGGGAATCCCACATACTTCCCACCAGATCTCACCTCTTAATGGAGATGGCCTCATGCATTGATCGATTTGGGGTAGAGCACATGGCACCGAACGAAACACCTGAAATCCTACCATTTTCCTAAAGAAGATTTTAGTAACCCCAGAGGAGATATAGACTTTTAACCAAGCACTGAGGACATACATATAATACAACTAACAGTAGACCTACAAGGAAGTTTCCAACAACAACTTGCATTTCTTTTCCAGGAGGAGGTTGAAGGAGAAACTTCTTCATGCAGAGAATGGCAAGAATATGGAACTCACCAGAAGCTATGGTTGAAACAAAAAGCACCACATTTAATTTTAAATAATGTATTTAAGAGAAAACTTGCTGCAATACATGAGGAAGAAGGGAGAATAGAGGATATAGGAGAGGGGAATAGGAAGGATGGAGGCTCGTGCACTGTATAAACACTGGCAATAGATTAGTTAGGCCAAACAGTCTGTTTGCATGCCTTATCACTCCAGAAACTCATTCGTTATTGAAAGTGCACAGGGACTAATTTACGAAATATACCGTACAGAGAATAGCATCTACCCCAGATGGAGTACACTGTACACATGGTCACACTGTGTAGAATAATTCCCATAATCACTGGTGGTCACAACCTCCAGCAATCTTTCCTTACAAGTGATAATGGAATACATATTTATGTTTATTTAGCACCTTTCACGTCGGGAGGATAAAGATCAGCCTCACAAGTTTTAGATGCAGGTGAAATTTCACCCAGCCTGGAATTTATATTAGAAAATTTACCAGCCTTCACCGTGTCATGGGAAATCCCATTAAATGCACTGACCATTATATCCAATAAATTTCCCCTAACCCCTGTCCAAATGAGCAGGAAGAAAAATAACTCAAGGAAGTTTTATCAAGTGTCAAGCCTGAGTT